CTTTTGTAGGTAATTAGGGGAATTTAATAGACAATTTTATACAGATGACATTATAATTTTCGTCGTTTGAGGGTTCACAAGGTTCTAAAAACTAAAACAAGGGCCGTAACTCTGGAAGTAATCTACAGAAATTGTTCAAATTCGACAGGCTTTTTCGTTTTACTAATTCAAATAATGCATTTAAATTTCGTCCGAGCAGTCGACAAGGGTTGTCACATATTTATTCTATTGTAGGTAATTAGGGGAATTTAATAGACAAATTCATACAGATGACATTGTAATTTTCGTCGTTTGAGGGTTCACAAGGTTTTAAAGATAGGTTGCCAGGCAACAAAACATACGCCCACAGCAGCTAAATCGTCCCAGCGGTCGACAAGGGTTGTCGCATATTTATTCCTTTGTAGGTAATTGGGGGCCTTTACAAGACAGTTCCATACAGATCAGATTATAAATTTTGTCGTTTGAGGGTTTACAAAGTTCTACAAACTGAAACAAGGGTCTCAACTCTGGAAGAAATCTACAGAAATTGTTGAAATTTGACACGCTTTTTTGTTTTACTAATTTAAATAATGCATATAAATTTCATACAGGTCACATGATCACTTTTGTCATTGAAACGTTCACAATCTCCATAACTCTAGAAATTATTGACAGAAATTGCTGAAATTCAATAGACCTGTTTCACAAATTTAAATGATGCATATAAATTTCATACATGTACATATCGGATGATAACTGTTGTCATTAGAGTATTCACAAGATTTAACAAAGTAAAACAAGGGCAATAACTCTAGAAGTAATTATTGTAAATTGCTTAAATACTATAGGCTTTTTCATTTCACTAATTTAAATTATGCATATAAATTTCATACATATCGGATGATAACTGTTGTCATTAGAGTGTTCACAAGATTTAACAAAGTGAAACAAGGGCAATAACTCTAGAAGTAATTATTGTAAATTGCTGAAATACTATAGGCTTTTTCGTTTCACTAATTTAAATCATGCCTATAAATTTCACGAAAACTTAAACTAAGATACAATTGAAATTTTAAGAAATACTGCAATTCGATTGGCTGACCAATATGCAAATTGGATATATGCAAATTGATTTTACTGGTCAGCCAATCGAATTGCAGTATTTCTTAAAATTTCGATTGTATCTTAGTTTAAGTTTTCATGAATAAGGGCCCGGGTGGTAACTTTTGGTGTTAGAGCGTTCACAAGGATCAATAAAGTGAAACAAGGGCCATAACTCTAGACGTAATAAACGGAAATTGGTGAAATTCAATAGGCTTCTTCGTCTCACTAATTTAAATAATGTATATAATTTTCAGAAGGATCGAATGATAACTTTTGACGTTAGAGCGTTCACAAGGACCAATAAAGTGAAACAAGGGCCATAACTCTAGACATAATAAACGGAAATTGCTGAAATTCAATAGGCTTCTTTGTTTCAATAATCTAAATAATGCATATAAATTTCAGAAAGATTGGATGATAACTTTTAACGTTAGAGCGTTCACAAGGACCAATAACTGAAACAAGGGCCATAACTCTAGACATAATAAACGGGAATTGCTGAAATTCAATAGGCTTCTTCATTTCAATAATCTAAATAATGCATATAAATATCAGAAAGATCGGATGATAACTTTTGACGTTAGAGCGTTCACAAGGTTCAATAAAGTGAAACAAGGGCCATAACTCTAGATGTAGTAAACAGAAATTGCTGAAATTCAATAGCCTTCTTTCGTTTCGCTAATTTAAATAATGCATATGAATTTCAGAAAGATCAATGAATTTACACGTAAGAAATCCAATCATTTTCAAGCGTGCTCCTATTCGTTGATGACATCATAGCTGTGATGACGTCATCATTCAAACATGCATGTGCACGCGTAATGGACATACTAAGCATAACCTATCCATTGATACCTCATTTGTGAAAATCAGTCTTCAGGTGGCAGATATATGATCAAATGAATTTACATTTAAGAAATCCAACCATTTTCAAGCGTGGTCCTATTCTTTTGGCCACGACTGTAGACGTAATAAACAGAAATTATTGAAATTCAATAGGCTTCTTCGTTTCACTAATGTAAACAACATACATCAATTTTAAAACAATTGGATGATAACTTTTGGCGTTAGAGCGTTCACAAGAAATTGTGGACGACGGACGGACGGACGGACGGGGGCAACGGCAATATACGTCCACATTTCAATGTGGGCGTATAAAAACTAAAACAAGGGCCGTAACTCTGGAAGTAATCTACAGAAATTGTTCAAATTCGACAGGCTTTTTCGTTTTAATAATTCAAATAATGCATATAAATTTCATACAGATCGGATGATAACTGTTGTCATTAGAGCGTTCACAAGATTCAACAAAAGTGAAACAAGGGCAATAACTCTAGATGTAATTAACGGAAATTGCTGAAATTCAATAGGCTTCTTTGCTTTACTAATTTAAATGATGCATATAAATTTCATACAGATCGGTTGGTAACTTTTGTTGTTAGGGCGTTCACAAGGGGCAACAAAGTGAAACAAGGGCCATAACTCCAGAAGAAATTAACGGAAATTGCTGAAATTCGATAGGCTTCTTCATTTCACTAATTTAAAAGATGCATATCAATTTCAAACAGATCGGATGATAACTGTTGTCATTAGAGCGTTCACAAGATTCAACAAAGTGAAACAAGGGCCATAACTCTAGACTTAATTAACGGAAATTGCTGAAATTCAATAGGCTTCTTCATCTCACTAATGCAAACAACATATATCAATTTCAAAACAATCAGATGATAAATATAGTCTGTAGAGTGATTACAAGAAATTGTGGACGATGGACGGACGGACAGACCGACGGACGGAGGCGACGGCAATATACGACCACATTTCCATGTGGGCGTATAAAAATCAACATGATTTCAACTGGTCTATACATGACCCCAAAGTACCGAGCAAGATGGAGAAATTAAACATCAAGAATGAATAAATGAATGGAATTTGTAGGGAGACTGGGGCACATTGAACCAGTTTTTTCACATACATGGTTGTCCTCCTTCCATATTAAATGTTTTTATTAGAAGATCTCTTTACTGTATTGTATTGTTTGAAGACATATCATAGTTGCTATTGTGTATCAGATTCAATTCAATTAATAGGACGTTAAACCCCATTTCATTTCAATTCAATTAATTTTTAACTTTTTTTAAAAAACACATTTTAATCCACTTGACCGTAATTGTACAATGTACCCTGCTGTACAAAATAGTCGGGGCAGGTTTAACCACATAATGGGGCACATTGAACAGTGGTAAAAATTCCATGTTAAACATAGATCTGAATTTGGGTCACAAACCTAGTCACTTGTTTCGTAGTGATCTAATGAATCTGCAAACAATCAATGTTTAGTTAAAAACAAATATCCACAGATTTGACATCCGTGCAACGATCGAAACAAGCAGTAGTCCAGATTCCCTGGGCTACTACAAATCGCCTTAAATTGCACTTAAGTTGGCAGTTTGGTGGGATAGTGGGATCCCAGTCAACTTTTGCAGTGAATCAAACCAAAATTTGTCCAATATTCTGTCTAAATTTGGACAGCCTGATTTGCTGACAAGCAACTCTTAGTCAGGGAGACCCATTGCGCCCCTGTATGTCACAGCCAAGTTTCGAACACTGCTCCCATGAAGTTTTAATTCCTTTTATATGACAGGCCTACAGAGTTGGATCAATTGATATTCTAATATTGTTTTTATTTTCAAAGATATTAGAAATTATCAAATGATATATAGTCTATAATGCACTGGGGTACATTAAACCATGGTTCAAAGTACCCCATTGACAGTGGTTCAATCTGCCCCATCACAGTTTCATGATCAAAATTTTAAAAAAAATTCAATATGCCCTCTATGGATCAAGCCCCTGTTTATCTGGATTGTAGATTAGACATAATATATGAACTGATTTTAAGTACAAGAATTTCCTAGACTAAACAGCTAACATGTATGAAAAATGATGTGGAAGTTGTGCATTTTCACTTTTAAGAGCTCTTTTGAAAAAATCATTGCCTAAAAAATAATTGACAGCATGTTGCTACTGCTTATTGACGGGGAAATAGGACTAAGAAGCTATCTCACTTCTGTGTAGTGTTGGGTTGCATAGTATTATTTATAAAGGATATATCCATGGTGGTTCAATGTACCCATATGTTCAATGTGCCCCGGTCTCCACTGTTAACTTATAAGTTGTAATACTAATAATTTAAAAATATATTATCAAGTCTTATTTTGGTGCAACAAATATTTTGATAGAAATTTTTTATCGGTTAACCGATTGGCGATTGCCCTTGGGTTTTTAAAGACCAGTTAACCAGTTCAATAATTTTTTAACCCTTACATGGTATGATCATTAATGAGTTAAAGAGAGAGAAATGGGGTTTAACATCCACTCGACACAAACTAGGTCATTTCGACACTAACATATGGTTCATTTTTATTTCAATGGGTATTGTTTTATTATATATATGTTAAGCTATATGTACAGTACAATTTGGGGTCAGTGTAATTGGAAATTAAGGGAGTTATATGCCAGTAACTTTTTTTCTAGTCAGATGACTACAAAATTTGCTCAAAGGATAGCCTTAGGACTGTCCACTACTGTGGTTGGAGCAAGACGGAAGACATCGTAGTGGAACCATTTCTATAGAGGGTCTATAGCAGTGGCAGGAAACGGGAGGAGCCGGAGAAAATCCACAAGGTTCCTTGTTAGGTACAACTGAGGAATCGAAACCATGCCAGTTTACTCAATGAATGACAGACTTTTGTCATACAACGCGCACATGCTAACCATTCAGCCCCCCCCCCCCCCCGAATTAATTTAAATGAGTTAAGATCACTATTCTGATTCGATCAGCCCCACCCTATTGATATTATATTAGTAATTTATCTAGAATGTTAATGTTTTATTTATTAGTTTCTTACTCTTACCACACATCCTTTTCCGAGCAAAGCAAAAAGCGCCTCATTTTCATCATTCAGCAATAATAGCGATGCCTTGTTTGTAGCCTTTGGTCTTTGGTGAGACATATTTAATTAGAATAAATAAATATTTTACATCGAAACAATAACTTGACAAAATTCGATCTATGATTCTACGTAGGGTTTTCCGGGTTGCTCTTCCGGGTTTTACTCTTAGATTGATGAATCTGGGGCCTCCCTGTATGGCGAATGACAAGCGAATGACGAATGACAAGGAATTTCTAAAAACAACTCCATTTAGGCCAATATAATTCAACAACGTTGGGCTGAAGTCAGCGGACGTTATGCTGAACGGACGTTTTATGACCTTGACCTCATCGTCGAAAGCTGCGGTTAACAAAACACAATGTTTAGCCGTTAGAGTTAGCGTACGGAATGAATAACAAATATCCGCACTACTAATTTATTTAAACCACTGAAGACACACAACAATTGGAACGAAATGAAACAGTCTTTATCCCCCATTTCTGTAGCACCATAGATAATTTCGGAAAGTCACTTGAATACACCGCAAAACAGGTTGAATTAATTACCGGCACCATAGATTATTCTTGAAAGTCCCCAACATAATCTGAAATCCGTCCTAGGAAAGCAGTACCCCCCTCCGTCTTGTTTGTTAATTCTGTTTTACCAAACGGCCGCTGCTATTTTATTTTCTTAAGCCACTAAATACATGACATGGAATTAAAGAGTGTTTATCCCTCTTTGTGGCAACATATAGATTATTTCTGAAAGTCCTCGATTCAGTCTTAAATCCGTCCCAGGAAAGCTGCCCCCCTCCCCTTTATGTCCATAATCATACCAAACGTCAGCTGTTTCATGTTCTTGAGCCACTCATTACATGGCATGGAATTAAAGAGTGTTTATCCCTCTTTCATGTTGCAAAATAGTTTATTCTTTAAAATCCTCGTCATAGTCTGAAATACGTCTGAAAAGCCCCCCCCCCCACTCTTTGTGAACTGTGCTTTACCAAACTACCGCTACTATTTCATTTTCTTGAGCCACGCAATACTTGCCATAGAATGAAAGAGTGGTTGCACCATAGGTTATTCTTGAAAGTCCTCAGCATAATCTGAAATCCGTCCTAGCTGCGCTGCTGTTTCATTTTCTTGAGCCACTCAATACTTGGCATTGAATGAAAGAGTGTTTATCCCTCTTTCATGTGGCACCATAGATTATTCTTGAAAGTCCTCAGCATAATCTGAAATCCCCCCCCCCCTCACGTCTTGTTTTTCAATTTTGTTTTACCAAACGTCCGCTGCTATTTTATTTTCTTGAGCCACGCAATACTTGGCATAGAATGAAAGAGTGTTTATCCCTCTATCATGTGGCACCATAGATTATTCTTAAAAGTCCTCAGTATAATCTGAATTCCGTCCTAGGAAAGTAGTACCCCCCCCCCTCCGTCTTGTTTGTTAATTCTGTTTCACCAAACGGCCGGTGCTATTTTTATTTTCTTGAGCCACTCAATACATGGCAGGGAATTAAAGAGTATTTATCCCTCCAAGGAAAGCTGCCCCCCTCCTTTTATGTCCAAATGAAACAGCAGCGGACGTTTGGTAAAGCACAGCTCACAAAGAAAGAGTGGGGGGGGGGGGGGCTTTTCGGAAGTATTTCAGACTATGACGAGGATTTTAAAGAATAAGCTATGCTGCAACACGAAAGAGGTATAAACACTCTTTAATTCCATGTCATGTATTGAGTGGCTCAAGAATATGAAACAACAGACGTTTGGTATGATTATGGACAAATAAAAAGGGGGGGGGGCAGCTTTTCTGGGACTGATTTAAGACTGAATCGAGGGCTTTCAGAATTAATCTATGGTGCCACATGAAAGAGGGATAGACACTCTTTAATTCCATGTCACGTATTTAGTGGCTCAAGAAAATAAAATAGCAGCGGCCGTTTGGTAAAACAGAATTGACAAACAAGACGGAGGGGGGGGGGGGGGATACTGCTTTCCTAGGACGGATTTCAGATTATGCTGAGGACTTTCAAGAATAATCTATGGTGCCACATGATAGAGGGATAACCACTCTTTCATTCTATGCCAAGTATTGCGTGGTTCAAGAAAATGAAATAGTAGCGGTAGTTTGGTAAAGCACAGTTCACAAAGAAAGAGAGGGGGGGGGGGCTTTTCGGACGTATTTCAAACTATGACGAGGGTTTTAAAGAATAAGCTATGTTGCAACATGAAAGAGGGATAAACACTCTTTAATTCCATGCCATGTATTGAGTGGCTCAAGAACATGAAACAGCAGACGTTTGGTATGATTATTGACATAAAAGAGGGGGGGGGGGCAGCTTTCCTGGGACGGATTTAAGACTGAATCGAGGGCTTTCAGAAATAATCTATGGTGCCACATGAAAGAGGGATAAACACTCTTTAATTCCATGACATGCATTTAGTGGCTCAAGCAAATAAAATAGCAGCGGCCGTTTGGTAAAACAGAATTGACAAACAAGACGTGTGTGTGTGGGGGGGGGGGGGTAGCCTACTGCTTTCCTAGGACGGATTTCAGATTATGCTGAGGACTTTCAAGAATAATCTATGGTGCCACATGATAGAGGGATAAACACTCTTTCATGCAATGCCAAATATTGAGTGGCTCAAAAAAATGAAACGGCAGCGGACGTTTGGTAAACAGAATTGACATTAAAGTGTTTTGCGGTTTAACCGGTAATTAATTCAACCTATTTTGCGGTGTATTCCAGTGACTTTCCGAAATTATCTATGGTGCTACAGAAATGGGGGATAAAGACTGTTTCATTTCGTGCCAATTATTGTATGTCTTCGGTGGTTTAAATAGATTAGTAATGCGGACATTTGTTATTTATTCCGTACGCTCACTTCAACGGCTAAATATTGTGTTTTGTTAACCGCAGCTTTCGACGATGAGAGTCAAGGTCATAAAACGTCCGCTCAGCTTAACGTCCGCTGACTTCAGCCCAACGTATTGAGTACCGAACACAAATTGGCAACTCATTCGCCTAGCGGCAGATTCGACCGATCAAGCTGGCAACCCTTTCGTTGGCAACCTATTCAGAATAAAGACAAGAATCGCCCAAACTCATCTATATTTATAAACCAATAAAATCCAACGTTACACGTATAAAATAAAAGTAGAATACATTATACCGTACACTACTACAATATTAAGCTAGCTATGCCTTTAGCTCAGAATTGAGGTGTAATTTTGGATTATCATACAAAATTCTTAGCATCTTACTACATAATAAGCTTTCCAAATATTATTAGTAAAAGTTGGCACAATCATATTAAAGGGGTGCACTCTAAACGTCGCCAATTTTAGCCTACAATATTTTAAAGTGAAAGACAGGTAATATTTCCAGTCCAAACTCGGACCCTCGTACACAATTTTGAGCATCCATTGCAACTACATATATTCTGAAGGAGAATTAAAGTAGCTAAGTCTCTAATTCAATATCATCCAAACCCTTCGACAATGAAAACACGAATTATTTTTCAATTTTAATCAACATTGTTGTTGTGATCTTACCGGAAAAAATGGCCTTCTGATATCCAATATTTAAGACAAAATAAACAGTTTACGATCGGTACACGAATCGTGTACCATAATGCGTTTCAGAGCAATTTGTAACGAGCGACTCGAAGAACGAGGTTAGACATATTCCACAAGTCATGTCAAACGGTGACCCCATATTTTTATCTGGAGAACATGCGCAATAAATACTATCGGTGTAGACTGGAATAACCAGACACCAGAGATTGCCATTGAATTGAGACTTCTGGCATATTTCGCCGAACAAAACTGCTTTGAAATTAGAGTAAAAACGGAAACGATTGAATGTAAATCAGTTTATATACATTCATATTTCCTTATTATATACGTTGCTACCCATTTCTGTCAATTTGTAGGTCCTAAATATTAGCGATTTAGCTCCTTTAAGTAAGCTTTCCACATATTATTAGTAAAAGTTGGCACAATAATATTAAAGAGGTGCGCTCTCATCCTAAACATAGCCAATTTATAAGAATATTTTAAAAAGAAAGACCGTTAATAGTCAAAATTCGGACCATCGTACACAATTTGGATGATCCAACTAAATATATTCGGAAAGGTAATTAAATAAGCTTTCCAAATATTATTAGTAAAAGTTGGCACAATCATATTAAAGGGGCGCGCTCTCAACCCGAACACTGCCAATGTTTCAATATTCTATAGGGAAAGACAGTTAATATTCCGTGTCAAAATTCGGATCATCGTACAAAATTCTGAGCATCCAACTATATATATTCTGAAAGGTAATTAAACAAGCTTTCCAAAAATTATTAGTAAAAGTTGGCACAATCATATCGTACAAAATTTGGATGATCCAACTAAATGTATTCTGAAAGGTAATTAACTAAGCTTTCCAAATAATTTAGTAAATGTTGGCGCAATGATATTAAAGGGGCGCACTCTCAACCCGAACACTTGCCAATGTTTAAATATTCTGAACGGAAAGACAATTAATATTCCGTGTCAAAATTCGGATCATGGTACAAAATTCAACTATATATATATTTTGAAGGGTAATTTAAACAAGCTTTCCCAAAACTATTAGTAAAAGTTGGCACAATCGTATTAAAGGGCGCGCTCTCAACCTGAAAATAGCCAATTTTTCAATATTCTAAATGTAAAGATAGACCTGTATTTTTTTCGAGTTTCAAATTCGGATCATCGTACAAAATTTTGATCCAACTAAACATATATTGAAAGATAATTAAATAAGTTTCCAAATATTATTAGTAAAAGTTGGCACAATCATATTAAAGGGGCGCGCTCTCAACCCGAACGGTCTATCCCTTTAGAATATTGATCAATTGGCTGTGTTCAGGTTGAGAGCGAGCCCCTTTAATATGATTGTGCCAACTTTTAAAAAGCTTATTAAATTATCTTTCAGAATATATTTAGTTGGATCATCAGAATTTGGACGATGATCCGAATTTTGACACGAAATATTAATTGTTTTTCCCTTTAATTTTAAAAAAAAAAAATATGGCCATGTTTAGGATGAGAGCGCACCTTTTTAACTTTTACCAATAATATTTGGAAAGCTTACTTAATTACCTTTTAGAATATATTATTATTATTATTATTACAGCATATTTATAGTGCGCCCTTTGATATAACATGTTCAAGGGCACTTTACAAAGTGACAATGTAATAAATAAAGATTATGGACATGTTAACGATTGTATACAGAGTCAGTTAAATGCCTGATTAAATAAAGGTGTTTTA